AAAAGAAAATAACTTCCAACCTAGACTGTTCAATCCTGCAAAATTATCTTTCAAAATCAATAGGGAAATTAGATAATTCCACAACAATGAACACCTGAGTAATTTCATGAACACCAAACCAGCACTACAAAAAATTATAAGCAATATCCTAGAAAAAGACAATTAAGGGCTCATCTCCATGAGGCCCAACAGAGGGGAGCCACCAGGCAAGGTAAGAAACTAAAGGGAAAAGGAGAAAAATAAGAAATAGAAGAGCCAACAATAGTAAAACATCATGACAAGGATAAGTCAATATCTACCAATTATATCTATCAATGTTAATGGTCTCAATTCACCAATCAAAAGAAATAGACTGACAGAATGGATTAAGAAACAAAATCCAGCAATATGTTGTATACTAGAAACACACCTAACTGAAAAAGAAATACATAGACTGAAAGTAAAAGGATTGAAAATAGTTCTTCATGCCACAGGAACCCATAAAAAAGCAGGGGTAGCAATTTTATTGGCAAACAGTATTTTCAAACCAAAACTAATTAAGAGGGACAAAGAGGGTCACTACATCCTTGTGAAGGCAACAGTCCAAGAGGAAGAGATGACAGTCATAAATATATACGCACCAAATATGAATGCTTCTGACTATAGCAAACAAATATTAACAGACATGAAAACTGAAATAAACACTAATACAATTGTAGTGGGGGACCTCAATGCCCCATTATCACCAATAGACAGATCATTTAGACAAAAAATTAACAACGAAATTCTAGAAATGAACCAATCTATTGAAAGTGGACTTAATAGATATATACAGAGTGTTCTACCCCACATAATCAGAATACACATTCTTTTCAGCTACACATGGGTGATTCTCCAAACTAGACCACATGCTAGCTCATAGGATATGTCTAAGTAAATGTAAAAAAATTAAAGTTATCCCCTGTATATTATCAGACCATAGCACAATAAAATTGGAGATCGATGACATAAGAAACTGCAAAACTCCCACAAACACATGGAAATTAAATAACACCCTCTTGAACAACCAATGGGTAACAGAAGAAATTAAAGAAATTAGACAGTTTCTACAAGTAAATGATAATGCCAGTACACCATACAAGAATCTATGGGACAAAATGAAAGCAGTTCTACATGGGAAATTCATAGCAGTCAATGCCCATATGATGAAAACAGAGAGAACTCATACAAATAACCTAATGGAGAACCTCAAGCTCCTAGAAAAAGAAGAGAATAACAAACCCAAAGCTTGT